CTGGATTTCATGCGTTACGTGGAGTACGAGTTCAACCTGGAGTCCCTGCGCGCCCTGCCCACGAGAGGGATGGAGGGGGGCCCCAGGGGGGCCCAGCAGCGCAACAAGAAGAAGCCCAAGAAGGGGAAGGCCGCCACGGCCGATTTTTGTGGGGTGCCCCGGGTGGGGGGGTTTTTCGACCGCCCCGTGATGAAGTTTCCCGGGGAGGGGGACTTCGGGTTCCATTACTTGGATTTCCCCCCCCGTCAAGGGCAGACCAAGGGGGGGGGGGGGGGGGGGCGGCGTAGTACCGGCGTTGACGAGCGAGATGAGGGGGTCTAAGGAAACGACTAGACTGATTTTTTGTCAGCAACAATGTTTTTCGTTGACTTCGCCGCCGGTCAGAGGCCTTGAGCGGGAGGAGGCGTAATACCGGCGTTAGCGAGCGAGAGGGGGAACGGGCGGAGGAAACGTCCAAAAAATTCTGTCGTCAGGACCAACGAGTACCGGAAGCCTTCGTGATGGTACTGTCAGCAGGAAGGAAATGCGCGAACGGGCCCTCATCCTCAACTTACTACCACATTCAGGAGTGTTTTTCCGCAGCACACCAAAGACCCCTTGCTTCCTTTGGTCTCCGTAAATACGCGGCAAGAAATCGAACATTGTCCTTCTTCTCCCCCTTCCCTTCCTCCCCACAACGACGACCACCACCCTACATTGCGCACAATATAATACCGCAGGCGCTGGGCAGGCTCTTCGCCCGTGCCCTCCAGCTCCACCCCCGCAACCCCGGGCTCTGGATCAAGGCGGCGAGCTGGGAGTTCTTCAACGGCGGCAACGCCTCGTCCGCTCGCTCCCTCATGCAGAGGGGGCTGCGCATCAACCCGGGCGCCCGGAACCTCTGGCTTCAGTACTTCCGCCTCGAGTTCTCCTACGTGGAGAAGCTCATGGGCAGGAGGGAGATCCTCGGCCTGGAAGCGGAACGGGGCGGGGCCGGCGACAACGCGCAGGGGAGCGATGATAATGATGATGATGGCGGGAGGCGAGGCATGGACATACCGGAGCTCGAGGCTGAAGCGGGACAGAGCGGGGGTCCCAGCTTCAAGGCCGTGAGGAAAGCGGCGGGAGCGGAAGGAGCGCTGGGGGGCGGCGACGGCGCGCGTCCGGCGCCGGTGATGAACGACACCGCCCGGCGGTTCTACAAGGGGGCCGTCCCGATGGCCGTGTTTCGGGCTGCCGTCAAGGCCATCCCCGCGGACGTTGGGTTCCGAGCGGGGTTTCTGCGGTGCTGCGCGGAGGACTTCCCGGTGCTGTCGGCCGAGGTGGCGCAATCAATCCTGACCTCCATCGAGAGAGACTTTCCCGAGAGCTGCGAGGCGTGGGAAGTGCGGGCGTCGTACCCACAGCTCGCGGCGGAGGCGGCGGCGGCGGCCGGTCGCGATGGCGGTCGGTTAGGGTTTGCCGTCGTGCAGGAGAGCGTGGACACGTTCGAAGTCGCCGTTGAGGCGGTCGGGGCGTCGCAGCCGGACATGTGGGTACGCTACGCGTCGTTCTTGCGGGGAAGGCTCGAGGCCTGCGAGGGGGCCGAAGGAAGGAAGAGAGGCGGCGGCGCGGTCGACGGGGGCAAAGACGGTGAGATGGTTGGGGTTTCGGCACCGGCCGCCGCCGCGGCCGCCGCTCTCGCGGCTCGGCTCCGGGAGGTGCTGGCGCGTTCGGTGGAGATCCACCTCGCCGGCCGCGCCGCACCGAACGATCCGCCGCGGAGTTCCACCACCGCCGTTACCGCGGCAATCGCAGCCCGCAAGGAGAGAGGAGGCGCGTCGCTGCTCGCGACGAGAGAGGTCGCGGCCCCAGCCGAGGAGCTCGAGGCGCCGAGTCGGCGCCGGGAGGAGGACTCCCGAGAGGCCCTGTCCGCGGGGCTGGCGGACGTGTGCCTGGCGCTGGGCGAGCCCGAGGAGGCTCTGGCGGCGCTCCGCGCCGCGACCGGGGTGCTGCCCCGGCGGCCGGGACCCTGGCTCCGCCGCGCGGCGCTGGAGAGGCGGCTCGCGGCCTTGGGCGGCGACCCCGGGCAAGCCGGGCGGCCGGCCAGCAGTGGAAAGAAGCCCAGCCTTGGAGGTAACAGCAGTAGTGCTGGCGCTGCTGGTGCCGACGTGGCCGCGGCGACCCTGCGGGCAGGGATAAAGGCCGTCCCGCCGGCGGCCCCGGGGTACCCCGACCTGTGGCGGGAGTTGCTCGCGTCTCTGGTGGCCTCGGGGGGTGGGCACAGCAAAAAGGGAAAAACTGCGGTGGCAGCGGCGTTCCGGGAGGCCGTCGAGGCATGTGGGGGAGGCTCCGCAGGGAACAACGCGCAGGGGGAGTTTTTGGCCGGGTACGTCCGCTGGAGCGCGGCCGTGGAGGGTCCTGACGCCGCCCGCCGGGCTCTGCAGTGGGCAAGGCGTTCCTTCTTGCTCACGGGGACCGGGGCGGCGGCGGCGTACGGCGAGACGATCGAGCTGGAGAGGGCGCTGGGGGAGGAGGCGGGGGAGGAAGGGGCAAGGGCGAAGCGCGTGCGGGAACTATTTGAGGTGATGATGATGATGATAGATAGATCCGTTGGTGCGCCGCGAAGGCGTTCAAGGAAGCCGCAGGTTGCGTAAGATATCAGCCCCCGTCCTGGGTCGATATTTAGAGCTCGGTTACCCTACGACGAAGAGGGTTGCCAAAATCGAATGATACGTTGTTGGAATGCTGTCGACGAGACGGTTCGGCAGAGCCACTTGCCGTGCTGCCGCGTGTATTGTGCAACACACGGTAGTTACTGGTCTGTTCCGGAGGTGTGGTGGGATGTTGTTGAGGAGCGAACAAGTTGGCTGGAAAAACGCTGCAACAGTTTTTTCTGGGCTGTAACCGCGGGTAACTATTTCGTTTTTCTGCGATGCCGTCTCTGAATACCGTAATTGTGCGTGTTATTTATCGCACCCCCGTGTTAGCGTTTTTCTGTAGCGTATTTCTCCACAACTAGGAGGGTGCGAACACCAACCGATACCTCTCAGGAAAGCCCTCGACGAGATGTTTCTGGAACCACCCCTTTTCGGAGGTGATACCTCCCTGGTTGTGGAGAAATACGCTACGGAAAAACGCTAACACGGGGGTGCGATAAATAACACGCACAATTACGGTATTTTGACCCTTTACTTGTCCGTATCCGTCACGGCTTGCCTTCTGCGGGAGGCAGGCCCTATCCTTTGTCACCTCTTTGCCTTCCCTACATGTCCCCTCTGACACCTACCGCCGTACTGTAGCCGGAATCGCACGGGCACTCTAAAGGAACGCGAGGCTTCACTCTTTTTGCGCTACAATACAAACCTAGCTACAATACAAACCTAGAACGTTCGAGCGTATTGTGTTCCTCGGCGTCCTTATGGTAGCGCTTCTTTGTTTTCGCTGTCATATATATTTTTTTATACCTTCGGGTTTTGGTTCCGGTCTGTTCGCCCCCACGTGCACCGGTCGGCTCTCTGTGTGGGACGGCGGCGAAATATGTGATTGGTGTCCACGTGCGTCGTTGTCAGGGCTTCCACCGCAGGTCCCGACTCCTCCTGTCCATCATCATCATGGCGCGTGTGGCGTTTGGTCTCGACCCACACATTTCCCCTCGCCACACGTGTACCTTTTTTTTTCTTCGTTTTTTCTCGTGTCAGGATTCGGTGGACAAGTTCGGCCGGGAGTTGCCTGCCATCTGGGAGGAGTACGCGCAGTTCGAGATTCAGGAGGGGGATGTGAAGAGAGCGAACGCTGTGCGTTGGAGATCCCAACAGCAGCAGCAGACGGAGGGCGGTCTGGGGGGGGGTGTCACGTCTAGCACCGGCAGAAAGAAACAGCGATGGGGTTAGGGTAGACATGGAAGGACACCATCCGCGATGAGAGCCGTAAATAGCTGAAGAATAGGTGGGCAACCGGCCGGTAGCTTGTGCTCGAAGTCGGAAGTAGTAGCCGGGAGCATGTGGAATTGACGCGTAGACGGGTTTGGGAGACTGGACGGCGGGTTGGGGGGACTCTGCGGCGCTTGGCAGGTGTTGTCTGTTGTCTCAGGTGCCAGCGTTGGCTGAGGCAAAACTCACTCAGTAGCAGCGCTCTTTTCTCCTAGTATTGTATTTCCCCCTCTTGTCCATGCCCTGCTGTTGCAGTTTTTCGACTGTTCGCGTTGCCGCGGAGGAGAACATGCGCGTTCAGTTGTTAATCGACACGTGGGACGGAGCTTGAGATCCCACACCGTATTATAGCGAAAGACAGGAGGAAGGCGTTGGTTAGACAGGAGGGCGGAACCTTACCCACCACCAGAATCCCTCTTAGACATTAAATGGGCTGAGGGTACCCGGAAAACCTTCCTTGTGCCACAAGCTCTGGCGTAAAACACAGGAACGTTGTCAACATTTTATGTCAGGATCTTCTTACGTCAGGATCTTTTGATCAAGATCTTAATAAATCAAGATCTTAATAAATCAAGATCTTGTATTTTGATCTTGCAGGCCTACAGGTCTCTTATTAGATCTGGAATCTTGAGGCCCAGGCCGGTGCCTCGAAAAGGCATCCACGAGGAGAGGAGACCCTGGTTTCCAGGAGAGAGATTCAACAGCTTCTCCCATGTCGTCGTACAGATTCGTGGAACGTACGTGCTCATTCCGCCGGACCACGAATACCGCGTGTCACACACACGCGTCAACTCACTCGAAGCTGCCTTGTCCGGCACGCAGTATTCCGACGAACATCTCGCATGTGTCTTTGACACCTCAAGCGCAAATTCCCAGGCGCGATGAGTTTGAAATGCGTCAAAGCTGCCCCGATTCCAGGGCCGCAAGACACGACGGGAACGGGCAACAAAAACCCGCATGCTCGGTTCAGACATACTTGCACGTATCTCCCGGTGCCAACGACAACACAGATAGAGATCACAACGTGCAGCCGCACCGCAACCCTACCCATCATTGTTTCTACTTCAGAGCTTGCGCTGTCACCTCTGCTTGGTGTGTTGGATTGTTCCACGGAAGTAGTACCATTCTCGAAGACTTGAGTTGCCGGTGCGACTGATAATAGTCGGCTTATAGCGATCTGAAGACACGTTTACGAAGCAACTCTCCACGCAATCTCCTGCAGAAACTTTCTACGAGTCTACTCTCATCTCCGCAATCTCTGCAGCATCGCCCCCTTTCTCTCTTTAAATCCAAGTCGCGCACCGTCCCACACCCGCGTCGGGTGTGCTATTTCAAAATACGGTGCATCTGGGCCTCAATGTCCAACAAACACCAATGGATAACCCCAAAACTGTGATGAAGTAACTTACTAGCAGCCCGCAGCGCAACCCGCGCAGATACACAGACAGGCGGACAAAAAATAATTATTCACATATTTTTAAATGGCACGCTCTAGGTGCTCACCCTTGGACGACACGCACCCGCAGTCTTCCCCACCAAGGCGCAGGCCTGATGCCCGAACCAAACGCGACACCGCACAAGAGTATAAGGTGTCGGTGCTTCATTGTTTCAGGGGGTCGAGGACGGATCTGAGCCGTCTGTCTCTCCGTGCGGCATTGTTTTTTTCTGTTCGTTTCATGCGTTACCTTCCGGCGTCTTCGCGAAACCACACAAGTCTCACCATCTCGGGGGGTCGAACAACAAACATTGACGGCGCTCCTCAGTCACGATTTTGTAGGGAGAGAGCCTATTTACTGCCAGGGGAAGTGGTGCTTGCCGCCTAGAGAAAACCGCATCTCAACCTTAATGGGCAAATGAACAGCACACACACACACCAAATGTTCACTCCACGTCAACACACGCATGCTGCGGCTCGCGCCAAAATGTTTCGAACCGAGTTTCCGGCAGTGCAGATGGGCACCATCTCTCTTGCGCGCACGACGCTTTCATTCATGGCGAAGTGCTCTCTGTGCACCACGCCTGACGCCACCCGCGGATGAAGCTGCCAACTCTCCATCCAGAACGGCAGCCGCTAATATAATCACTATAGAGTCGGAACAGTGTCGAAGGTTGGGAGGCCTCTGTTCGTATCCTGCATGAAACCGTCGAACAAGTAGGAGGGTAGCGGTGGGTGCGGTCTCAGTATCACAAAACAATATCCTACCATGACAAGCCCGCTAAACGCTAGAGCAGGGGTTTACGAAAATAACTTCGAGTTGCTGAGCGTTGGTCTGCAGAACCACGACGCGATTCTTTTTTTTTTTTCCGTGAGAATTGTGGTGTCCCTTTTCGTGTCGACGTGGCGTCACGCCCTCCCCCCCCAAAAAGGCAATAACGGAAAGACACGCCACAAAGCAAACGAACACATCCCCTCAAAAAACGTTTTGCACCTTCCCTGACGGTAGAGTAGCCCGAACACTACGGAATGTACTGTTAAGATGCGCCATTCAATGTCTTGAATCGACTATTCTGCACAGCAAGCAAAGTTGTGTACCTACCCTACCTGGACCCGGGTAGCGTAGAAGATCTCGGCGGAAGGCGCAAACCCTTCGGCGATGGTGCGGTCCTCGGAGCGGATGCCCTGAACCGGAGGAGCGTTCAGGATCGAGATTAGGCAACGAAAATGTTACTGCTACTGCGGTGATGGCGATCCGAGTGTGGAATTGGGCCATCAAGGAGTCGGGCCATCAAGTCAGCGCAGAGCAATTTTTGACGCCGTTTTCGATAATTTTGCACACCAACAGCCCGGCGCCTTGGGCTACTGCGTCAAGTCTGCGCAGAAGTAATGTTTTATACCGTTTTCGATAAGTTCAAACGCCACCAGCCCGGCGTCAAGAAAGTGCGCATCGAAAAAGAGAAAACCTTTCCAACCGTACTCGTGTTTTCTTTTTCTTTTTTTCGGGTTTACCTTTATAACGACACCCGGAATGGCAAAAATGTGCCCGCCCCGATTGTTGTAGAGGTGCGAGGTGCATGTCTGCGAACGTTCGATCCGACCGCCCATCCGTGCATCCATCCGGGCCAGGAGAGGCAACACCGGAAACAGTATAACCGAAAAAAAAAATGCGGACCATTTAGTGAGCGGACGCAAAACATGTTGTGCCAAAAGGGGCCGGCAAAAGCCGAGGGAGATGGAGTTTAGGAGGGGAAAATATGAAGCAGGTGTTTGTAACAGCTGCGAACAGAACGGGGGGGGGACCTCGCAAAGATGAAGCTCGATGAAATGGTAGTGATGGTACGGCAGTAGTATTGGTGACCGCGGCGATGACGGCGAAGCTGGCGCAGTACAAAGGATCGCCCTGTTTATGCACGGTGCCTGCAAAGCGCACAAACCAACAAAAACAAGACCGCGCGCTGTCAGCGCTACCGGCAGACGTACATCACCAAGAACTCGTCCCAAATTCCGGCCCCCCGTTTTCACCCGTCTCAACCGCAAATAGGTCTCTGTGCGTTTCATTAGACGAAAACTTGAAACGCTCTCAACCATGGGAGGGGAGCGGCACCGTGTTTGCGGCTCAGCGTTGCATGCACCCAAATTACTCACATGACCGAGGAAAACGAAGAAAATGGGCACCTTGAATTCCTTCATCCCATCATCCCTGTCTACATACTACATCGGTAAGGGATGATCGGTAGAAAGCGAGCAAACCTCGGTCGCTTTGGCACAGCTGAGTCCCAAACCTCCACCCACAATAATTGTGGATCGAAGCTACATGTACACTGGAACGGTTCCTCAACATGCCCGAAGCGGCCAGCGACTCGCCTTGCACCTCCCGCGCTCCATGTCCTCGCTGGTCCTAGTGATGGTGATGTTATCCTTCCCCTTGACGACGGACGTCTTGTCGGCCTTATATAGTACTAGCCATTGGAACGGAGCCCCCGACCACTTCTGGCAAATGACGCAGTGGCACTGTAAAGCATGATTCGACAAACCACGTGGGGGTCGGGGGGAGGGTGATCTCTTCGTTTAACTTGGCAGGCAGGTGTAAGGCATGCGGATATCAGGAATGGTTCGACAACGCGGCCTTGCTGTCTGTGTCGTTGTGCTGTGTCTTAAACAAAACCTGTAGACAGCATGAAACAAAAACTTCAACACACCTCTTCAGACTGCTGTGGCTAAAATCTCCTACGGACAACAGTGTACGTCGTCTCCTGTACTGGTACGAACATTTCTTGGAAAAAAACAACTGTCGCCATAACACCGGCAAGACAAAGAACGCTGGCCACGCAGCGGTAGAAGAGGATACCAGCGTAGCGGAGTTCGGGTGTCTCAACTGGCTGAGAAACGTCCCGTCGTCGTGATACAGTATACAGCAGACCGTCTTCGATTGTGGAGAGATATGTACACGGACGGCGAGGGGGGAGGAGGCAGTTGACGTACAACACGTTTGGCCTGAGACATAAGGTGTGTCATAAGTCCGGGGCAAACGAGCCCTAGCGTATCACCCTGGATAAGGTATTGGATCTTACCGCGATAAAGAGAGTTTTTTCTGATGAGCGGGCCTCTACATTGTACTTCTACAGTAGAGGTCCCTGTTTAGTGCCGGGGTGTGCGCAGAAATTTCACCGACAATAAACCGGACACCGGAACTATTCAAAGTACAGAACGACTTAGTATCCCAGTGTATGCGGGGCGAAAACACCGGCCCTAAAATAGTCTACTTTTATACGGGCAACCGGCACTTTTCAACAGGCACTAAACAGGGACCTCTACTGTACACTGCTGTATTCCCGTTCCCATTGGGAGCACCGAGGCAAGTCGACGTGGTCAGACCACCACATGCCAACAGCAGGGACAACCCTCAACCCTTCCAATTCTGTTCTCACTCGGACTTCGAGACAGCAGTGTACGTGGCATCACAGCGAGCACCCGTTCGAGAAAATTCTCAGAGGAGGTGGTTGAAATCTGCACACAGCAGTGAGGGTTCGGTGACACTGCTGGATATATTGAACGCAGCTCAGTCCGTGCAAGTCGTGATGAGACAACTGCAGCCATGCATCAGGAGGTTTGGGTTTACCAGGTAATGTTGCCGAACTCCTGCATGTCTCTGCTGCGTCGACGGCAAACGCGCGATACCGAGCGGTGGGTTGCATGAAAAAACGCCGCGTACTGTACGAGTCACCGCTGGAAATAAAACGAAAACGCTGCGCTCCTTCCCCTCTCTTCCCATCCGTTTCCTGCTTTGTCCGGGGGAGCACAGGGCAAGAGAGATCTACGCATGTGTATGTGCATCACAGAATAATCGAAGTATTTGCATACCCACCACACCCACAGCCAGTCGTCGAGCAGGGGGAATCGGGCAGACGTGACCACTGGACCTGCACGTAGACAGCAGTGCCCAAGCAGCCACCCAACCCACTGCTGTTGTGTTGACTATCTACAGCAGTATCATGTTACGTGTGTAGGCTTTGACTCAACTGAGCCCACGGCAAGGCGGGACAGGCCCAGGCAGCCTTTGCGGGGTGACAATAGCTGCGTGGCCGTGAGGGCTGCCAGCAGCACATTGTGCACAGCATCATCAGGCACCTCCTGTCAATCTCACTTGGGCTTCGGAGCTGACCAGAAAAACAGGCGGAACTACATACACAGACGAGCTTAGCAGCAGAACTGCTGCAAGTTGCATACAGCGGTACGTCTACAACTCACGTGCAGGCTAGCCAGCGGAGCGCCCACGAGCTCCATCTCCACATCGCCACACCAGCATGTCAGAGTGCGCTTGGTCTCAGCCATGCTGGTTGCATTGCTTTTTCTCCCGAAGGTGCGGTGGAAGAGAGAGACACGGGTTGACGCTGTGGCGGGGTGTTGGTCGTTGGTGTCCGCCAGTTTCTCACAGTCTCGCCGTCGCAGCCAAAGTTCCATGATTTGTTGATGCGGGCGTTGGTGCTCAACAGAGCAACACAACATCACGCCTGCCGCGATCTTTACTACTTCTCGTATACGACACGCCGGCGGCAGGTGAGACACAGCAGCAGGCACGGGCAAATGGTCTAGGAGCCCGTGCCGTTGACATGCTGTACTTCGCTGCGAGATCTCCATCGCTGCCCCTCTCGATCGGTCTTGTTGAATGTGCGCCGATCGCTGTATGTTTCTTTGCAGCAGGTCAAACTCGCTCAGAATGACCAACAAGCAATCGTATGAGATGATCCAGGCGGGTGCCGGGGCAGCAGCCCTTGAACGGGGGGAGGAAGGGTCGCTGATAGCTGGCACTGAGCCGCGGCGCAAAGGATGGGTGGTACCGGCGTTGGCGGCGGCGGTTGGTGTCGCTCTGCTGCTGGCCTGTGGACTGTCTGCTCATCATGCTCGGGAGGATGCTTCCGGTGTGTTGGTCTGTTGGGAAGACGTGTGCTGACTGCTGTAGATTTACCACTTCCGGAGCACAATGCACAGCAATGCAACACAGCAGCAGTAGCTAGTTGTTACCGGGTTAACATGCTAAACACACGTGTAAGCCCGATGTGGGTTCGGAGATGGGAACTTCAACACGTTTGATCGAGGTTGGCCGAATCAAACGGCAGCCAACGCTTCACAAGCAGCGTGCTTGCGGACCTGCCAAAGCTGCGAGTTGTAGGGTCGTAGATATGTACCGACGTACAGGTTTTGAATAATGATGAATCTAAACGCGCAATCCACGTAGCCATGAGATATGATTGCAGAAACACCATTCGCTAATCCTGAGGTTTGCACATCTCGAACCAACTTTGTTCTCGTCAAGCGACCCAGCCAAAACCGTCGCTCACAGGCATGCGAGTGGTGGTCGAACAACTTGATTGTGTTTCTGTTGCTTGCTTGCCCCCCAACAGGTTTGTTCTCATCCCATGTGTCCAGTCTGTTTCGTTCCCACACACGCGGAGGGTTTGCCATGACAGAGGCGTTTTTTTGAAAAAAATTACTCTTCCAACCGCACCGCCTCCTCTGTCCGGCAACGACCCCTTCCCGCAGCTGCCGGCGCTGCCGCGACCCCCATGCAAGCCTCCACGGACAGCGTCCCTTCCTGCAGCCTCCTGTCCTGCACGAGCTCGGGCTGCGACTGGGACGGGGCCCCTTTCCTCTGCCTGGACGGGGGCTCCGCTGGAGGGTGGGCGCCTTGTACCGTTGTTGCTAAATTAGTCGTCGTCGTTGTTGACGGTCTGTTGTTGTGGTACCTGTTAAAGGTCTGACCGGATGTTGAACCGTAGCTCAACTCTAACAGACCGTAACACCTACTGTCGGTGTTTTAGATCCGTATCAAAGGTGATGAGTGTAAGCTCCCGCCCCGTCCGTCGGAATTCGGTACATATGATAGGTCGTTGGTATTGGCGTGCGCGCGTGCCTCACGCGTTCGAGTCTTCTCGGCGCATTAATCCTACTTCAGGGTGTACGTGTACAGCAACAAGATTGAATGACTGCTGTGAAACAACCAGAAACAAACACATAACGACCACACATCGCGTAAGAGCCATCGTCAAAAACTCACAACGAGATTCCTCTTTCGTTTCCCGGCGAGCGCTACACCACCACCATATCTCATGCTATCTCTCTTCCGCGCGCCCCCTCCTCAACAGGTGCGCAGACAGCGCCTCTACGTGGTCTGGAGGCGACGGCTGCACGTCCTTCTGCGACCTCTCCGGCTGCGCCGATACCCTTGAGAACACCGGCGTGGACGACCTGCCGCGGCGCTGCCTAGAGTGCGACGAAACACAGTGCTCCAACCTGGCCGGGCACCCGTCGCAGGCGTGCGGCAGCACGGTGCCGTTCGTGTGTCTCTCCGGCGCAGGTATATCTCGTTTGTCGTGTCGATGGCGCGATGGCTGGTATTTCTGTGCTACGACCGTGGATGCAGTACATTTGGGGGGGGGGTGCTCAACAACGCCGGTGTGAGCCCGGCGAATCGACCGGCGCTACAAATTCAGATTCAGAGGGACCGGCGCTTTTTCAAACTACAGGATGACTTGATGATTCAGCCTGTATCGAGCAATTTATCTGGCGCTATTCAGAGCCACCGGCGCTATACAACGGACGTTGTTGAGGCCCGCCCACTGCAGTCGTAGGTGGTGCTTGGATTCTTGTCGAACACTGCCTGTGTGCGTCGCTCTTCTTTCGCGATGGTGAAGCTTTGGTGTTGTTCTTCGCGTCGTCGCTAATGCCTTTTGTTGATCCTCGGTTTTGCCTGCGTGCTTGTGCAGCCACCTGGGGCTGCGCGGATAACGAGCTGGCGTGGGCAAGCACACCTTCGACAACGTGTGGCGAGTGCTGCGATGTCAGCGGCTGCTAAGTTAGTAAGGGGCGCGGTGGAAGGGGTCGCGGATTGATTTCGCTTCAAACGGAGGGCACCCCATTCGCCCGTGGCTAGGTTTAGAGATACATGTTGTTTGTTTGGTGAAGTAAGGGGGGCTCATAGGTGCTGGCAGAGATGGCGATCCGAAAGGGTTTTATCGTGTTTTGTCGGCGACCAATTTTGTCTTGATGCCCCAGCATTTCTATTATCATGATGGGCAGAAGTCAGTCAGTGGTGGGTAGGTTGGGCATCGATTGCACCCTGAGGGGGGAGGAGGTTGCACCCCGAAGTGGGCAAGTAGTCCCGCATCTTGGTGAGTGGCGTTTTTCCAATCGACACGGTGGGCAAGCAGCATAGCCAAGAAAATGGTTCAATGTCGATCCCGGCTTCCCATCCTCCTCACCGAACCCTTGGGAGGTCGTGATCGGTGCACAACCTACACCTCTGATCACCAGTGTAGAGGTGGATTTTGGTCGCAGAGTGGTTGGGACGTGGGAAAGTAGGCGAGATACTCAAAAGAATCTTGTATTCGTAGCGACGTGGCCTGGCCGCAATCCATCGGCAACTACAACCTTGAGCACGGTAGGACAAGGAGAAACTGGTCTACGACACTCATTCTCGAGGTGGGGAGAGATTCAGCGTACGACGCAGGTGCAAACTCGGGCTTCACCCCGGTACACCAACACGATTGAGCCGTTGAAGTCATCATGCTACAAATTCGTGTACATAGACGGGCGATGTTTCTGCGAATAGTTAGAGGCTATTCCTGTACTTTTTTCCTGCCGCTCAACCGGTGAAAATGTTGTTAGACATGCATGGATCCCATTCGAGCATGCCACGGGTCGCGCGATGCTCATATGTCGCAAGGTGGTTCCCCGTGCCCGCCCGGAGCAAGGGAAGTCGGCCGATTGCAACTGTTCTCGGCAGTGCGCCGATGGACACAGCATGCCACGTTGCTTTCTTGGCGGTCGCTGCCGCACGGACGGGTCGAGCACAGTGAGACTTTGGCTGCAAGCCTTCAGCAACTCGCGATACGTTCCCCTTTCGTTTTTCGTCTTTCTTCTCGCAGTAAGTTACATTGACGCCCCGGCCTAGCCACAGATTCATCGTACAGTAGTCAGCCGTTAAAGAGGTACAGGCCATTTGAAGTCCCCCCCCCCCCCCCCCCCCGCAACGGTTAGTCGCGCGGGTGGTGTCGCAAGGGACGCGGAACGCGTACTCTCTGGCGGGTAGCAAGAAATTCCGCCCTGAAGCCAACGGTTGCAGAGAGAAGCGGGTCAATGTCGGCGTTTCCCGACCGATTGGTCAGTCAGGTGCCGAAGCATGGCGAGCCACAATGATTTGTTCATTTCTTGGATTGGAATTTCATCCCCAAGCACCAAAGGATTACGGCCATTCGGCTGCGGTGGATCGGTAGGTTGGACCAGATGCCGAGGGGCACGCGAAGAGAAATCGCCGCTGGTCATACGATTTACTTTTCGATCGGCTCGTCCGAACGGTCCGACCGCGAGCTGCGGCGGAGCTAGCGTCCACAAACCTTCGTCGACCGGATCATGAAGCGAGATGATGCCAGTCCTGACTGGTGGAGTTCGGAGTCATGCCAGGCCCCACGAGATCGGAAGCAGGGTGGCCCGCGAGTGTGGACCTTATCCAGCTGGTGGTGGCGAATGTTAACAAGCACGATGACGCGAACAAACACCGAGACGTCAGTGCTTATCCCCATGCAGTTGCGTGGGTGATACATTTATCCACACGATTATTTGCGTGGAGTGTGAATGAAACTTGTTTCGGCAGGCCGTTCATTGCCGCATCGACGCTTCCATGCCCTCCAAACAAAAACTCTATCCTGACTGAGAGCGATCTGGAACGCCTCACGAGCAGCGGACATACTGTATACCAAGAAAACAACGCACATAAGTGCAACAGAAAACGTTTCGAGCGTTCACGCACCACGGAGGCGGCAATTTCAACCAACCCAGCAAGTGGGGTGGGCCCGCGTTGATATTAATTGGGTCTGGCTTTGACATGTTAATTTGGGTCGATCGTCAGTTTCTTCACGACTAGCGATTATTTTTCGTCACCTGAAGGGACTTCTCTTTTTTTCGCGTGCAGAAAATGCCCGCCCAGCTATGATGTAGTGAGTGTTGAAACTCTTATTGGGTACGGAATTCTACAGCAGCAGTGGGCATAATTGGTGGGCATGGTCTCTTCAATTCAAGATTTTATGTTTTGGGGCAGCAACTGCAACGAACGGCACAGCAGTTAGTCTTACGTACCATGTACGGGTCACACAGTCTTACTATCACTCCATGCCCGGAAATGTAAAATAAATAAATGTGTGACGCTTATATACAAGGCTTATACAAACACAACCACCACATCCCTGACTTTCAATCTTGCAACATCATTGGCAATTTATATCGTGTACCATTATTTACTACATTGAGCTGTGCCCTCCTACGTTTGTTCTATGTACTGACTGCTGCAAGAGCGAGGTACTACAGTGCTGCTGTATACGCGAGACCAGAGTATGCATCCTCGGGCCGGCGGCAATACAACACTCCATACAACAGCAGTACGGACCTTGCAATTAGTTTGATTATGTTGCCTGGTGTTTGGCCGCTGTGGCTCGTTGCTGTTTCGTGCAGGGTTTGCTTGACTGCTGTAAACTGCAGACACAGCTGGGTCGCCTCATGGACAGCGGCTGACCATCATGTGTGACAGATCCATGTCCGTATACCAGCAGGCAGCACGCGGCAGGCGGCCAGATTCGATCCCCTACCCCCCACGTACCCACCCTTCATTTCGCGGTGCCCCTCCTGGTCCCGTTGAACTCAGTCGCCCGTTACACGACGCAGAGAGCAGGGCAGGCGGGACACGAGACACGCCCCCACACAGAGAGAGAGAACAATGGCTGGTAAGCCTTGCCACTATGAGGTGCTGGGGCTAGAGCGGAGCGCCAGCTCAGGGGAGGTGAAGAAAGCCTACCGGAAGAAGGCCTTGTACTGGCACCCGGTGAGTGAGTGTGGTCCGCGGTCGTGCACTCTACTACGCTGTACTTGCTGCGGTAGCCTCAGGCCCTCCACCCTCCACCCTTCGGCCTTTACGTCGTTTGTCGGTGAAATTCGTTGTTCCTGTTTTATTTCTGGTGGCGGCGTTGCTGCTCTATCGCAGCGGGTCGGCGAGGCACACATGCACGGCGGTGTGTGTGGGTTGTGTTTTCTGGAACGTTTCTGGAATACCTGTACGAATGTGCTGGTGGCGCATCATGTCTTGATGAACCGACACATCATCGGCGTCCGGACGTTACCTTGTTTGCTGTACACAAAAAGCGCACTACGTCGGTATCTACCGCAGAAGCTCCAGGGGGATCGCCGGGTCTGCCCGCTGTCGCCCCAGTCCAGGAGAGCCTTTGCACTTTGCACGTTGACATAAATAATTTGCCGTTCTCGTGGGAGGAGTCTCTCCGCAACTCTAAATGTTGAAAAACGGGGTGCGAACGTGGGTCACAGGCAGTCGGAAAACACGAAGCTCGCAGGCCGTATGGCGCCATCTGATTGGTTGTCACCCTCCGCCCCCGATCCTGAACCGTCTTTTGACGGGGTGGACCCGATCGTGGCTACAAATACCCCCGGTTGGGTACATCCATACCCGGTTTTCCATTGTATTTCCCTCCCGGAAAGAGGCCGGGCTGTTCGACCAACGGCCCACGCACACACAGACACAGTTTTCTTCTGTTGCTGCCGTTTCTGTCTTTGATCCGAAGGATAGTTTAGCCTCCCCCATGCTGCCCCCTCACGGGGTCCCAGTTCACGGCAGATAGAGGTGTTTTGTGTTTTCCACCGCACTAAGACTGACGTCTTTTCATGGGTCAGCCGGTTAGCGCGGTCGATGCTAACAATAAAAACACAGACACAAGCTAAAGCAACAGACTGAAACACATAGCCCACATCCAGCCTGTTTTCTTCCCATTCACTGCGAAGGCTTCAACACCCCCCCTTCGACGGTTTTGGTACAGCAGTCTTTCTTTGATCGTATATATGTTTTCTAGAAAGCAATGCTGCGTGATATGTACCTGTAGGTACTTTATTGTAGTCTTGTACTTGAAAAGCAGAACAACTGCTGTCTTCCAACTCCGCGTGCAGCCCCGAAGTCGGTACATATGTAAGAACCCGTGCAATAGTCTACACTTTGATTAGGAACGCGTGTTCGCCTTCTGTTTTCCTGCCACAAGACTGACGTCTTTTCATTGGTCAGCCGGTTAGCGCGGTCGATACTAAGGAGTAAAGCGCACCCACAATAGAGATACATCCAACACGTCACGTGCGGTCGATGCTAGCAGTAACAACACGCACGTCCGCAACGCTCATCCCTCTGATTCCGACGCCTCCGACGGCGGTGGACACAGGGGGAACAACCTCTCGTTTGAACATACAAGGATCTCTCCTTCTCCATTGCTCCTCTCGCATCCGAAAAGCCTCTCAATACCAACCCCGTCCCCTGTCTGCGACCGCCCCCACCTCCGCTATTTTGCGTTTCTCAGGATAAGAACCCCAACAACAGAGACCAGGCTACGGAGATGTTCCGGCTCGTTTCGGAGGTGATCTTCCAGTCGTGGTGCTCTGTGCACCGTATGCCGCAGCTTCATGTCGTGTATTTAGTGTCATTGGAAGTGTTTACTGTTTAAATGGTCATGTTCGGTCGCATCTTTGCCGCAGCTTTATGTAGCGCCATCGGAGATGCTATTTAAATGCTTTGGTGGAATGGGGTGTAGCAGAAGATGGAAATAGGCCACACCGTGCGAAAGGTTGAGCCTGCGTCTGCGACCACCTCTGGTCGACCACCTCTGGTCGAATGGGTGCTAGGCGAGGTGGAATAATTTCGAGGTACCCTCGGATTGAAGCCCGTTCCCCCGTCAAGTCTGGAGCACGTTTGAGCGAGGTAGACTGCTCTTGTACCTTTTGTTTGCAGAACTAGGGTTTGTTCATTCTTGTCGGAGGTTTCGGGTTTTGGGAGGAAGACCCGTGGAGTAGGCAGATAATGCCCTGAGCATAGCGAGTCAAAGAAAGGGAAGGCGTGGACCACTTTTGCGAAGTGAGAGGCACGACACACTCACTCATTCACACGTTATTTTGGAGTTATTTATTAGGCGTTTTTTTTTCTTCTGTTTTTTGCTTTTCAGGCTCACCACCGAAGGTGTGTAACGGTACCGTACCAAGGCACCCCATTTTGTTTTTTTCTTTTTTCAGTAGCACCTTTTGCAATTTTCGGAGTGCCTACTTAAAAAAGCAGTGTGGTGTTTTAGTCAACGCCCAAGAGGCGCAGCCCGATTGTGGCGAGACTCACGTGTTCGAGTACGGTTTTTACCGATAACCTCTTCCTCCCCCCCAAGGGTTTCGCCCCTGTAAAAAGCGCACGTCGCACAAAAAGAGAGATGAGTGAGAATCTGGGCGGCCATGGCCCTGACAACGTACCGTTCTTGTTGTTCGAGACGTACCCACCATCACCCTATCGTGGTGGCCGCCCTCAAGCCAAGGCCGAGTCTTTCGCGGAGCCCCTCATTGTGTTGCTGCTGTGGGTGCTGTTGTTGTTGGTGGTGGTGTTATTGTCGCCTTACCCCTTATTGTTGTTGCTGTTGCTGCTGCTGCTGCTGTTACTGTTGTTTCTGTTGTTACTGTTGTCGCAACTCCCCTCACTGTGTCGTTGCTGCTGCTGTCGCTGTTGCGGCTGCTGCTGGTGCCTTTTCGATGTCCAGGCGTACGAGGTCCTGGGAGACCCAGAGAAGAAGAGGTTCTACGACACGTACGGGCACGAAGGCGTTGCTAGCGCCGAACAGCAGCAATCGGCGGAAGGGGCCGGAGCCTCCGGCGCTCAATGGGTGAGCGGTGGGGAGCAGTAGCGAGCGACGAGCACGACAAAGGGGGGGGTGGGGGTGGGGGTCGTCCCAACTTGTCTGGGCGTCCGTTTTTTACGCCTTTGTTTCGGTATGTTTTGTCTAGACGCATCACAACAAGGGAGCCTCACAAGACTATGTTGTTGATGTTGATTTTGGCTGTGGTTGTTGCTGGTGAACCTGTTTTTGTTGTTGTTATTGTTGTTTTTTGTTGTTGTCTTGCGTCTCTCCCGGCTACGTTTTTAGCTCGTGGCCGGGATTTTAAGGGATTGAAGGCAAGCTATTTTGCTCTCTTGACACTGCCTCTATAATTATACTTAAAATCCCGTACAAAGAATGAAAGCAAGCTTTCCGCCGTTCAGGTTCTGTACCTTCTGCTGTTATCAGTAGAGGACACCATGTAGAGGCGTTCTGTGTGCTGGCACGTTCAGGTGTGCTGCTGGAGCTGAAATATCTGAGGTCGCAGCAGCCTCTAAAGCAGTCCGAAAAATGCGCCGAAACTTGCCGGAACCACACACTTTTCACAGCCGTGCTCACCGCCACGGACCGTTAGCCCCTGAACGGAGGGTCGTCAGGAGTAGCTGGTGGCATCAGCTACTGCAGTCAACCCGCAGTTCAGAAGATTGGGGTCAGTGGGGGCGAGCACAAGCAGCACAAGGCACTGGGTGTCGGTCTAGTTTGCGGAGATTGGCGGACATTGTAGGACGCTACTACGACCCTCGATATCACCACCCAAGAGGCAGATTTGAGCGCACTAACACACACACCGCTCAGTAGAAATGCATAGAACCTAGTGCAATACCGGCCTACTTTGAGCGCCGGCCGGTTTGCCTCTCTTGACTTGAATTCAGACTGGTGTGAATTTTTTCTTGATTTCAAAAGAGGCGTGTGGAGATTGACGCGTGAAATGTATACCACATATATTTAGAGCAGCCTCTACTGCCGTTCTGTCCGAGAATCAACGATTTCTGTTTTTCACGATGCCTTCCGACTTGGTCTTGTGTGTGGCTCTTGTGCATTTTCTGGTGCTCTTGCGTTTGTTTTCAAAATTGGTCAACATCAAAATTTCCCAGTAGTCTACGCAGCAAAATTGATTAAGCAAACATATGGGATAAAGTATTGAATCCGTGCTTTGGGGTTAGGATTAGGGTAAGGGATACGGTCTGCGTGCCCCCTCCCTATTTTTTTGGTAGATACTCTTAAAATCCTGCGTAGGCGGTCCCAATTTCTTTGACTGCCACCCCTTCAGCCCTTGGTCGCAAGCCGGACGCAAGGAGCGAGTGTCAGGAGAGAAAAAAAAGACATTTCCCGTCTACTTGACGAGAAGGAAGGAGAGCGAGGGGTAGGTCCTGGTGCGGTTTCGGATCGTGTGATTTTTTCATAGTCCGGTTCGTAGGCTGTCTGCTGTTGTGCACGAGAATAGGAACAAGCTTGCCGGAGTGAGGAGCACGCCAACCCTCCCCTGCTGCACGTATTTTCTCACACACCCCCCCGGCTTTGTAGGGATGCGAAGTCAATGGCCTAACGACTACGGCATGCACGACTATGAGTACCCCCTCCCCCTC